TTTTTATACATTAATTTTATGTCAATTCGAAGCAGATTGAAAACGTAAACACATTTTATCAAAAATAGTAATTTTTTCTTTAAAGTTTCTGACTGAATAGAGAAAAGTTCGCTTAAGAAAATGGGGAAGGTCCTATTTTCAATGAAACCTCTGAAATTTCAAAAACTGAAAAGGGTTTTTACGCGTCGGAAGCGTATACCCAAGCAAAGCTGATGTATCTGATAAGCGCGTTCATCGCTATCTATGCTGGTAACTTCAACTCTCAGACCTCAGGAATATTTTTACGGGTAGACACACTATTAAGCAATGCACTTTTTATAATATTTCATAATCTGTACAAATAGTACGAGAAAGTACGTGTTTGTGACACTAACAGTTTTCTATTATTTTAATTGTTTATTTAATTGTTACCAACCAGTACTAATTTCCACATGTATCAGATTGGAACAATAGAGTGACTAGTCATCAGATTATTCTTTCTGCTTGTTCACAGATATTTTAATCTTGGTATTTTCAAGGAATAAGGAAGAATTTTAATTTCGTCACAGAACTTGACAAGTTCTCGGATGTACGTCAGTTGAATATATTTTTCTTCCTTTATCATGCAGTATTTCAATGATAAGAAGTTCATAATCTATTATTTCATAATTTCTTACATCCTGTTAACCTGTCTGTTCAAACTATTATCAAGTGCGTATTTCGACGCATTTCGTTTAGGATTCATTATCAATGCGTTATCGTGGACAATCTTCATGACAATAAAATGATATATGGGAATAATTGGAGCTTGGATTTTGATTTATTGAGTCAAAAAACAATAAAAACTGTATGTGACGTATGGGGGAGAAGAACATATCCGCACGTTTTCTTCAGTTTCAGAATCATCTCCCATCATTTTAACTATAAATAGTTGAAGGATGAGTAAAATTTAAATGAAAATAAATAATAATAAAGTTAAAAAAGTGCGAGATGACCAACAATGGATCAATTGAGATGTCAGGAAATGGCATGTGTAGAATATATCATGGATACTAGTCAAGCCCTCTTGTGCCTACGGACACTTAGTGGCTGCTGACAAGGGGTATCAATTCCATATTTCGGGATAGAAAGAAAACTAGAGATAATACAACGCGGCTCTGACTTGCTCGTACCGTTTCTCACTTGTGTAAAAGTATAGAGGAAGGAACCCCAAAATAATAAAAAACAATGTTTCCAAAGCATGTAATATTTACTTTATGTACATGTTATGCACCATTTACATTTTACTTTTAGTAATATTAGAAATTATTTTGAAGTCTTACACTTTCGGGATTTGAAAAATAGATGTCAAAATCAGATAGCTTGTAGGATAGGTTAATTAACACTTCACAAAATTGTAAAAAAAGCTATTAAACTGCTAAAACAGAACTTGGTCTTAAATTATAGATAAAATAACATTATTGATTTTAGTTTTCCATATAGTCAAAACATACACCGGGTAACTGATGAAACGGTAACACTCTCTCTCTCTCTTTTTGACACAAAACTTTGATTTTAGACTATAATATAAACAATCTCCAGGATTATGTAGGAATCAAAGTCTATTTAACAATATTAAATACTTTGTGTTGTGAATATAATAACTTCCCACACTAAATGTAAAGGACTCTTTTTAGCACCACGTTACTCTCGTACTTATACATCAGTAATTGCACTTTTTTCATGGACATTTCAGCGTGGAACCTCATGAAGGTCATGGGCAACGTGTCTGATATCATTAAAAAAAATTGAAGGTACCGATTAGATAACAGTGCGCCTGTCCGTCCAAATCATTGGCTTTCCAAGTGCCAAGAAATTTAAATCTCGGACAATAGTTTTTCAGCCATTGCAAGAACAGTATTATAGTGGCCACGAATTTTGATGTCGTTCACATCAGTATAGAAAGTTACATTGATTTCGTTTTAACAGATTATATGTAGATGAAAAGAGCATTTTTTCATTTCGACCAACTTTAAGACATTAAAAAATAGTCATAAAAAGCCATAAATATTAAGAAAATAAATAAGAAATTTGATTTCTCGACTTATTATTTTTTTATATCTACCATTTCCATTTTAAAACTAATTTATATTTTGAGAGAATAATATTTGTAGCATGAAATATCAATTGCTTCAAACTGCATGTAAAAAACAATAGTGTGTAAAATTAATTATTAGCTGACGGTTTTTGTCTACATAGCACCTTCTTGTTCATTTAGATGTTTTTACTTTACGTTTTGAGGAGTTTTACTGCGAGAAAATTAGGTCCTTTAAAATTACGTTGTTCTAGTGCTTGTGGGGACCCACGTATATTTTCTGTAACGTTAAAATTGTGTTTATAAAAAATAAAATATTAAAATACTTCCAATTCTTTCAGTATTGATCCGAAAAAATGAAGGAAAACAAAAAATGAATAAATAGGCACTTTTCTAAAACAATTATGAGGCATTTAAGCATGTGTTGCTGGTTTCTCTTGTGCTTATTTTATTGTTTTGATATTTTTTGGGAAGTGTGTTTTACATTTTATTACGTGCGTCATAGAGATATTGCATTTTTAATAAGGTGTCAAATAAAAAGGGGTTATTATGCGAATAATTAATATTTACATGGTGACATTGTGAATCATATTATTATAAACTTGGTTACACTCAATGTCAGATACTTAAAACTTTGCAAGTTTTGACATCGTAGTTTCCAAATTCCGCGAATGGTTTGGACAAAGTATTCACCCTAGCAAAACATATAAATTATATATATGTATAGGGCTTGCAGCAATAATAAGATGAGCCAAAATCGAGAGATTAACAATTACGATGCTTGCTATTTGTCGTGAGGCTTATCTTGTTAATGTCGAAAGCTCTTAATATAACAAATTTTAAAATATAATAAAATGAACGCTAATTTTATTACACATATCTCTTTTCAATAAAGATCAGGATATTGGGTCAAATCTTAGTCTATTTCTTCGCAGTAGGTTCCACCTGAATTTGTTAAAATTCAATTTCGTTTAAAAATCAATGCAAAACAGAACTACTTTATTGAAAAAAGTTAAATTACCTGAAAACGTTTTGGAAATTTGAAATTTCAACATTTGCACAAATATTACAAATAAAACATATATTTGTAAGAATAAAATCTCTTTATTGTCACTTTTATAGTCATTAGTGGCAAAGTACAACATATTCTTGAGTAAAATAAAGTCTCTAAAATTATGTAAAATACAAAAAAATTGTTCATCAAAACTTTTATAAAAAGGCGCACAATTTAGAAATGAACACGTGATCAGAGAACAGTCATACAATGTATTCAATACTATTTAAAATAAACTTTGGTAAGGAAAATATTTCACAAACATAATATTATCTTTGAACGTGCAATATAAGAGCAACAATTTCCTTGAAATGTATTAACAATATATTACAGTACCTCTTACAACTATCATAAATGAAATAGAAAATAATTATCTCCTGAATACTGTATTCTTTTCTGTTCTCAATCCTAAACTTGCACAGCAAAATCTGTCTAAAACGCAATATTATTATTCCGGTCACGATTTTTATCTTTGGGAGGCCTACATTTTTTATATAAAAATGAATTATTTATCAAGAAATTCATGACTTTCATGAATCACAGCGTTATGAACGTAAAAATAAAATTAATTTGTATGGTCCGGCGGTTTATATCGTGTAACTTCCCCAATACCACGTGATATCACCGACAACCATGCCCCGCAAAAGATATTGTTCCCAGGAGGATATACGTGGTTTCAAGCATATCAAATTCCAGGTTGAAGATAATAGTTCATACATTCAGGGTACTTACATAGTTAATTATTCAATTTTAGTCGCATAATTTAGACGCAAATAGGCTCAGATAAGATTTCGTCGAAACGTTAAAAAATTATGTTTACCCGATTTCCTTCTAAGATATAATTTTGTAGGAAATTAGAGGAACAATATTGGCTCGCCAAGACCAGGAAAAATTGATTTACGGAAAGTAGGAATTTTGAACATTTTCGACATTGAAATCTTAGAAAGACTTTTATTACTTTTTAATTTCTCTATTTTGTTTGCTCAGTATTCACCGGACTTTCTTACTAAGATGAAATGTCTTTCCTCTCTGACGAAGTTTTTGTTTTAGACAAAATTTTACTCTATTTAAACATTAACGTTCCAATAAATACTCTTATTAAAAAATATAATATATCCTTGGCAAGACTGTGTTATCTACACACATATGATTTTTAAGTTGCAATACAATAAGACATTTTAAAATAAATTTTTAGGTCAGGGACCTAAATTCTGAGTAAGTTGATAACTGCTGATAACTCATCACTTAATATTTGTCTCATCTTTCAGAAAATAAGCTCTTCTGCAGGAGACAATTTAACAAAAATGGAAATTAACAACTTGCAACTTCAGAGTGTTTAAAACCCTCGCTTCAAAACCTAATGACAAGTAACCAAGTTTTACCACTGTGTTAAGCCGCTTTGTCATACTCAATTTCGAGCTTCTGCAATTTTGAGCTTTTCAGCCACTGCAACATTAAGCTTTATTGACAGTGGACAACGCTACTCGACTGAAGTCAGCAAGTGTAATCACGAAACTTGCGGCATGGGGAACAACGGCATAGTTCGTACAAGCGACCCAAAATGGCAAATACACACACAAAGAACAGTGGGTGGTGGGCACCTCTATCCGAACAAATGCGAATCAGAAAGACGTGGCATTATCAGAATTTAGCGTACACTTTCCTGCCACAGCCCAAAACTACTTTCCTCTGGAAGTTGGGTAATATAACATTTCATATGCCACTGGTCACGTGGTTGCTTCATTACGTTTGAGATGCGCAAAGAACAAAACAAACCATTTTGTTCCAAAACGTGCCAGAATATCGTTTCCGGAACATTTTTCGTTCGCGTCATGACCCTGGATAAAGCCCAATCAGCGCGAATATCCCTCCGACTACACCGAGGAAGAGCACTGCCACCGCGGCGCAGCAGCAGCAGCGCCGGCGGTCCCGCTCCCGCCGCTGCTCCTCCGTCTCCGACTGCGCGGCGGCGGGCGGCGGATTCGACGGCCACAGGCAGATGGTGCAGCAGTCGCCGCAGTCCGTGGCGGCGCCTGCGCACACGCAGCAGTCCAGGCAGTCGTCTCCACAGCTGCAGCACTCGCACTCGCCGCAGTCGCCGCAGTCGCCGCAGTCGCCACAGTCGCCACAGTCGCCACAGTCGCCACAGTCGCCGCAGTCGCCGCAGTCGCCACAGTCGCTCATAGCGAGCGCGAGTGGGACGATACACGAAAACTATACAACGCACGAGCGAAATGGCCGATTTAGGAGAATACTGGCGGAAAACTATTCACGAGTGCAATGCCCGATTTAGAATCCAGGCGGATAACACGGCGCGTGAGATCCCGAACCCAAGCGCGCTCCCGACGCGAAAGCGGGCCGCGGCAGACTGCCAGAGATAGCGCGAGCGGCTGCGAGGACATCAGCCGCGACGCGTCGCGGCGCCTCGCGGCCGAAAGAGGGAACTTCTGCGCATGCGCGGGTCGCACCGCCCGCCGCGGACAACTGGTTTGCTTCGGCGCGTGATTTGGTAGCGGATGAGATCACCAGCTCGGGGATTCCGCAGTTACAAACATTACCTGTTTTCCTCCTACGATTTCGAGAATTCAATACTCTAAAAAGAAGCACAGAAGGCATTTAGCTTGTGGAGAGCATATTGTAGTTTTGAAAAGCAAAGGACCGAAACTAATAAACGCGAAAAAGAACACGAATTTAAATTTTAGATTGTTGTAATTGTTTATTTTATATCCGAGTCGAACATAACGCGAATGCATCATTCAAAATTGAAATGAATCATCTACCACCTATTTTTCCGAATACACTATTGTTTATTTTTTTTAATTTTTAAAATTTAGGGAAGGATTTTATTTATACATAAACAACAATGTATTAAAATTTTGCTTAATTACGTAATTTATTATCCATGAAAATCATTTGGAAAAGTAACAGCGTGTGACAATCATAAACAAACTTCAAAAACGTTCTAACAAAAACAAATTTAAATATATTTACTGTTTTTTGCGCATTGAAAGAAAGTACGATTTTTATATTGTAAATAAATAATTTTAAAAGTTTTATTCAAAGAAATATCTTCGGATTCCGAAAATGCGCAACTTATTTAATCATGAGTACGAATTGCTTGAAAAAAATCGAACTTTTTCGATTCATAGAATTTAATCTTTAGTGTTATGAAAAGCCTAATTTTATCCAGTTACAGATTTAAAGACGCTAAAAGTATGTACCCTTTTATTAGTAGTGTTGTTTATAAAATACTATATTTTCTTGATGAACTAAGATGAGTCTAACTAATTTATAATATAAAATACTAATCATTGCAAGATTGACATGTCCGAGGATTCACCCAACTATTATAGGGCCGCAGTCAAATCACCATTGGCGTGTAAGAAATTGTTGCAAACAATAGTTGTTCACAATGTAGAAAGAAATAATAGCATTTTAAATTTTTTTAAAATATCATCTAGAATAATTGAATATTGATTGATACAAACCTTCGACGTCTTAAGAAGATTTAAAACTCCATCCAGGCCTGCATGACCTGGTTTGACAATGAATAGTTCGGACAAATGATAGAGAAGAAACAAGAGTGTCTCAGCGCACTGGTAGAGAGAGCATAATGAATTATTGATGGATATACTCGTATCACTAAAGGAAGCTATGGAACTTACGTAAGTATTTTCAGCTTCCTTATTTGTGAGATAGGTTTTTATATTTCAAGGGTATTTAGGCCAAATATTGAATGTTCTTCGAATTCACAAGACTTTTTCAAGAGAAGAAACTGGTTTTAATATGTTTAATTTTAAAAAAATACTAATAGAAAGTTGTGAATAGTATTTGTGCAAGGGTAAAGTTATTGCTTATATGATTTATTGCTTGTATACACTACACTTTTAAGAAACATATTTCTAAAATGTTCAATCACCTCAAGGTCTTATGGAATTTAATTATCAGAAACGTAATGTGAATAACAAGCAAACTACAACGATAAATAAACACGTAATTAATTACACAATCATCAATTAATTACGTAATCAATTACAAAATCATGTCATGCTTTTCTTTTGTGGTATGCTAGTTCATATTAAAAGAGACAATGGAATTTCCTGGCTTGTCTGAACTCAGACACTGAGTTGCATAAAACGTATCAATACTAGTACTTCACAAAAATTCGTGTCTCACTGCTTTAGAACATTTAATTGTTTTCAATATAATTAAAACCTTTCGTCATTATAATGACTACCGTCCCCACGATTCGTGTTAAGCAGGAGCAGTAGTATAGCAATTCACGTTTCATCATTTCAGGTTATTTAAAGTTCCAAAATTTTTTTTCTAGAATTCTTCAAAAATATTCTGAAAAGGGCAGATGAAAAGTAGTCGATCGATTCTTGTCGGGATAAATCGCATATGATAACCCGCGTGGGACGTTTTAAAACTACAAATATGTGCTTAATCCTCCTTTAACACGTTTTTCGATCACTTATTGCAATTAATAATTACAAGTTAACAATTACTCATTCGTGAATGTTATGAATCAAGCCGTAACTACTGATATATGTTTGCTGGAAAGGGTATGATAATTCATAGCGTTTCACTAATATTATTCTAGGTACATTGAAACCATCTAAAACAAATGTTTTTGGGGAAATTTTCCAGATTATCCTAAGTAAATTGGCTAATAATTCTGCAGGTCGATTTGTTTTGTCGAAAGGAATCGAAAGGACTCTTGATAACTTCTGTAAATTACACACACAAGTTGTTTTAGACGGATTCAAATTATTTTAATAGATCTTTAATCTCCTAAAGTTTTGGTTGGATTCGCAAAACCATTTTCAGTTCCCCACCAGGAGGCCGAGAGGCATCGAATGGCACTTGTCTCGAATGGTTGAGGGGTCTAACCGTTTGTGATGGATGGACGGATGAATATAAAGTTATGTAATGCTGCGGCAAAAGTAAGCAAGTGTAATTTTTTTGACAATTCGCTCACGCTGATACATTTCCAGCAATTTGTATACATTACTGCATTTGTAAGTGAAAGCGTTTCAAATGACTTCCAATGAGGTTTTTTGAAAACTCAAAAGTTTTCTGTGAAAAATAGCTTCAAATTTTGCATTTACACTAACGCTTAAACGATATTTTTGGGCGTACGTGCGGACAAGAGAAGGTTTCGTCAGATGAATGGGCATGGATTTTGGCTGCACCACAAGTTAGAGGATTTTTTTCTAAATTTAGCAACTTGATTTATCCACATTTTTGTTACCAGTGCCCTGTAAGAAGAGTTTTTCTTCTGCAAATTCGCCGATTTTTCGGTCAGCATTACGTAACTTTCTCCTTGCCGCGGTAGCGAGAAAATAACAATTTTTATCTTTATAATTGTAATTATAAGAAGGTGCTGAACAAATGTTAATTTTTTAAATTTTTTAAACATCTGAGTTTTTAATGAAAAGGAGACCTACACCATTCTCTTAAAACTTCTTCACACTATCCGACAACAAAACTTAATCAAAAACTATGGACCTTTTTTTAATTTTGAAAATGTGCCAGGAGATTGATGTAAAGTACCCTTCAAAAATTAAAATACTGATATGAAAATCAAGGGGCCGTGACATCAGTCAATTCGTTTGGGGAGTATCAATTTTGGAGAAAATCGGTTGAATGTTGTTCATAGACGGTTGGACAGACGGACGTCTTCGCGTCATTAAATTTTCTGGTATCAATGACCTACAAAACATGGATTCTGGCTACACCACATGTTAGATGTTTTCTATATTTAGTAACTGTGTTTATTCACTATTTCGTTACCAGGTCCCTGTATTGTGTTTTTCTGTCAAATATTCGCTGTTTTTACGGGCTGCATTACATAACTTTCTCTCTACTGCGTAAACGGTAGCGAGAAACTAAAAAGTGGGTACATCCTCTTCTAAAATGAAGTAAATTACTCGCTCTAACACGTGAGAAACTGAATCACGCCCTCTGAATCACGAGACCGCACAAATACCGTATTCGCGGTCGTGAGGAGGCTGGATTTTACAATGGAGCTCATCGCAGGATATTTCCTGTGATCGGGTGCCGCTTGTCCGAGGATGAAAAGCAACAGCGTTTGAAGCAGTGCTCACTTTAACAACGAAAGATGAACATGACATTCTAACACCGATTTTTTACTTTCTCGCTGCAGAGTAGAGAGAAAGTTATGTAATGCTGCGCGAAAAAACGGAGAACTTTCAGCAGAAAACTCTTAAAATAGAGATTTGGTAATGAAAAAGAGGATAAAACAGTTGCTAAATGTATAAAAAAATCCACTAAAACGTGGTGTAGCCACAATCTATGTTTTGAAGGTCCTTGATACCGAAAATTCGATTGAGGGCGAAACGTTTGACTGTCCGTCTGTGAACAACGTCGAATTTTAAATTGATATTTTAAATTAGAGAGTACGTCACATGAAACTTGTGTGACATTTTCAAAATTTCAATAAGTAGTTCCAAAGTTTTTAACTAAATTTTGTTGTTGGAATGTGTAAATAACTTTTAAGAGAAAGCTGCAGGTCTCATGTTAGTTGAACATTCTGATTTAACGAAAATTGCAAAAATTCAAACTATTTTCGGCGTGTTCATACAACTACAATAATAAAGACAGATTTTTTCCTTGAATAAAGTCTATTTAAAGATAGATTTTGAAATAAGGTCACGTACAACTTTTCGAAAATTTGAGTACTTTTCACGTAATTTTGCGTGAAAGTGCGGGCGAGAAAGTAAGTTCCGGTTTAGCATCACTAGTTTTACTTTCTCCTATATGAACTTATATACGAAGTAATATACATAGAATAGAGAAAGTTATGTAACATTACAACAAACGATGTTCGGAAATACTTATTTCGGTGTTCCCTGTCGGTGCTAAATTATTTTTTCTCCGAAGCAAAACCACAAGAATAAAAATACATCCTTTTGGGCAAACCGAAGGTGTATTGTTTGCAGTGTAATAAGCATGTTTGTAAAAGAGCATTCAAAAAGAACTGTAATGTTTGTCTGTGTAATGTACTGAAACTGATCACTTTAAATAATGTTTGTTTAATGTATTAACAATATTGCTTATATTATTTTTTTTACATACATTTGTTACAATTTTTCTTTTATGCTAACGATACTAGTGGAAATCCTCACAGACGCTGTCCTGCTGTCTCTGTCCCCTCTTTCTCTCTCTCACTCTCTATGTCACTCACTCTGCGGCTCTCCGTCTCACTCTTCTTGTTTCTCTCTCTCTCTCCCTCTGTATCTCCTAGTCTTTCTCCTTTTCTCTGTCAGATTCTCACTCGCACCCGTCCGGTCCTCCTCGCTCTGCGTCACACGGCAACGCCCAGCCACAATGACATTCAGCCAGGTGGAGGGCAGTTTGAATGGAAATGGAATTAAAGTAAAGCGCAATATTGTGCTGCAGTGCCATTTAGTGGAGTTACAATAAAATTAACAGCGTAAAAATCTGCTACGCGAAAAAAACACGAAGACGTGCCAACTTTCATGGAGATCAGACACACGGTGTTGGAGGTGACTGCTCTGGTACATACGAACATCCATTTTTATATATAAAGACTATTAAAACTACAAATTTCATTTGTAATTAATTACTAATTATTAAAATTATAATTCTTCATAATAAAATAGTTTTGTTGTAATGGGTTCAGTGAACCCCCTCTTCGGAATTGAAGTTGCAAAGAAATAAAATACAATTAAAAAAAAAGAGATCCGGAGATGTAGGATTGATCAAATGCACAGATGGCCCTGGTCTTGGCCGGCTGTGGATCCACATCGTGTGCCATCGACGCGCACCGCGACTCGGCAACAGCGCGGCCGCCCTCTCCCGTCCTCGGCCGACTGTTTCGCTAACAAACGCCCGGCCGCGCCGTCGCGCCCTCTCGCCCTGACCGCGGAATTAGCAGACGGCGGCCGCGGCGGCGGCGGCGCCGTCGGCGAAACAAAGCGGTGGCAGTGGCGAAGCGGCCATGGGCGAGCGCGGCGGTCTCGACGCTGGCAGGGGCGGCGACGACGACGTGGGGCCCGCGGCGTGCTGCGCCGTCGTCTTCTGCACCGCCCTCGCCCTCGTCGTGCTGCTGCTCGCTCTGCTGTGGAGGAACGGCTGGGAGTTCTTCTGGTGACGGCCGGCCCTCCCAGGCGCCTGCCGGTGGTTCCTCGCCTGGACATTTGCACACTGGTTTGTTGCGCTCAGAAGAACGGCTGCCGGCGCTTTGGCTGTCAGATGAGCCACACGTTTCCTACTGCCAGCACTTCCGCCGACAACTAAGACTTTTGCTTCCTAAGGAAGAACTTTTCTGCTGAGAGCTGAACCTCACGCTTCCTGCCGAGTAATGACTAATAGCATTTCAACTCTCAGAAAAGACTTTTACTTCCTGCGGCACTTCCTCAGCCAACTAAGACTTCTGCTTAATACAAAAGAAATACAGCCGGTGCAGCTAAAGTCAGAAGAACTTCCCGCTTTCTTCGGGGAAATGATTACTGGTACTTCTGCGGCAGCCTAGACGTTTGATTCCTACGGAGGAAAGTCTACCGGTATTTTTCTCCAGGCAGCTGAATCTCACACTTCGAGCGTAGGAGAACCTGTCGGCCCTTCTGATGGCGGGGCTCCATACTTCCTGGGCGAGGGGCGGGTGCCGGCGTTTCTTTTCATGGCGTCTCCTTGGGATCTCCAGCAATGGACAGCAGCCGGTTCTTCTGGTAGACCTCGTGAAGCGACGAGGGCCTTCATCTGGAGGTGTTGCATCTGGCGCTCCTGGTGGCGGCCGGTGCTGAGGTCCCCCGCGGAGCAGACCCGGGGAGTGGTGTGCAGCAGGTACATCGTTTCCGGGCCACGAATCTTAAGGAAGTCCGTGGACCTCAAGGGAGCCAATGAAGCTGAACGCGTCCCACAAGTTTATTAAAGTTTGAAAACTAACTTAATAAATTTAAGATTGATCCAATTTTATGTTTTTCAATTTTGGAAGTTAATATATTTTCGGAATTAAAAGTCAGACGCGGGCAATAGTGTGTATTGTAGTTACCTTCTCAGACACTGCAAACCCGGCAAATTGGACAATAGAGCCGTTGTGAACTGTCGAGCATGAAAAGATGTGCTTTGTACTCATCTAAATGTTAACAATACAATCGACTTAAAGCGATAATACACAAGTATTTTGAAAATGTGTATTTGTTTTATAATTGCCCATACACCATTCTTTAGACCCGGATTTTTTCTAAGGGTGACTGCTGCTATTTCTGGCGACGTTCACCTAAAAATGGCTATCTTGAGCGAGAATACCTCTTGGAGCCCTGAATTGTTTTCCTAAGATATTTCTGTGAGGAGTTGGGATGTGTATGTAGAAGTATTTTGTCTGGCACTATTCGGATGACTGATAAAACATTTTAATTTTTTGCAGTAAATACAACAAAGAAATGAAATAACTAAACCATTATGAAAACATGTCCATTATAAATTTTTTATTGCAAACATTTTCTTTGGACAAATGTATCATATTTCAGGACTTCATTTAAAAAATGGGAATCAATAACGTAAAGGAAATTTTTAGCAAATTGATACCGGAAAATAATTAACTAAAATTTATTCAAAACATTAGATACTTAATAAGTTCACTTTCTGCATCGTTTATCCTTCTAGTTTCATGCATTTACAGAAATATGTAATTTCGTATACGAAGCTACACGAAGTAATTACACGCTATCTACGTTTTAGGGGAAATTCGTGTAATTGTTACCACTCACTTTATTTTCTCGTTGATATTCATAACTAATTAAAATAATAACATTGATTTCCGGAAAATACGCTTATGAATGTAAAGATCTCATTCAGACAAAACATGTTTAAAGTCTCTGGCCATATTTTGACTACGCAAACAATGGCAAGACTCTCGTAACGTTAAAAGTACAAAGATATACATAAACAACGGTTTGATTGATGAAACATATTCTAATCCTATGCCTGCAATTTCGAAAAAAATATGTTTTTGTTGGTTTTTTATAATGTAATAATATTCGTTAACTCAATACCTCAAAATATTATATTGTATTATAGAACCTAAAATAACTATACTACTTGTCAGTGGCATATAGGATCTGAACTATCTCATCTTGCACGCACATTAACATACTGAAAGAGAGAAACACTGTATAATAATAAACAAAACTAATATCAGCTACTTATACTGCATGAATCAATGTGCAAGTGCTAACTTGTAGTTCTCCAAAAATAACAATTTAAAAGAGACAAAATCTTAAAACATCGACTACAAGTACCAAACCGTATCCTTTCATTTGCCGTTCGTGAATTGACTCCCAATACCGCGAGATGGGAGAACAAGAGCCAACGACGAAAGATGACAAACGTGAACGCACAGGATCGAGGGCGTTGTAAGACAGTTTGAATGGTTGAACTTTGCGATGAAGTTCGTGATAATGCCCCATTGTAATTTAGTGCGATTATGCAAAGTTTGATTCAGTAAAAAGGAAGATTTAAAATGTCTTTATTAACACAATATTGCACACGAAGAAAGAAATTGCGACAACGACAATGCGATGGATATTAGATGTAAAAACTTCCGGAGATTTTAGAATTTTGCAAGAGTTATAAAAGACCCTTTTCCAGCTATTTTCCTTTTAATAATATTTGTCTGTTCTATAACTTCAATCAGTTTCTTAATTAACGTTTTTGGGTTAGTTTTCTATTTTTTTCTTATCTATTCAGAATCTAAATATTTCGGAATAAAATGCGTTATGCATACGCAAGGTTATTTTATGTTAATCACGCAGGTCACGGGGAAATGTCCTACCAGAATTAAGTTATTTAGGATCATTTTGTCCGAGAGTTCGTTACTCTCCATGTTATTTACCGAAGTAAGTCGATTTCTTGAGGTGATGCAGAATGCCAGATAAGACCCAAATAATCTAACATTAAATATTAAGAATTTGAAGAAAATCAGTGCCATAATACAGTACAGAAACTATCAGGTTGCAAGTATGTAGTCATTAACTATGAATTCTACATTTATAATTCAACAGCTTTTGAAAGTTTTACAAATATTTTCGCAAATTTCAAAATATCTTTTTGTGCTATTTAGATGTATAAAGAAAGTCTGTCGATTAAGTTTTTAGGTAGAAAATATTGTATAATATTAGTTATTCTATATCTGGCTCCATGGACAATTCTGAGAATTGAATCAAGTTCTATAAAGAATGTGTCTTGGTAGTAGTCGATGCAACACATTGGTGGCGTTCTTTAGTATTCTGGTGTGAGTAGAACATCACAAATCATAAAGAAAATCTTTATGATCTGGGTTTAGTTTGTAATTTGCATTGCTTGCACTTGTTTATGTTGTTGGAATTAAATTATTTTTTTGCAATTCGAATGTATTTACCTACTTTTTTTCTACTCGTACTATTCTTTAGTAATTTTATTGCGGATATTAAATATTGGAATAATTACAGGAATACGTTAAATATACAAATTCTACCTCTCCTTGCCGAAATGACATATTTATTTCCCTGGTAAACTCGCTCAATGTAGCCTAATAAAATTATAGAATAGCACTTTTAGTTTGCTTGTCATCTATTTAATTATTCAGGTTAGAGTAATCTCCGGTGTTCCATTAGCACAAAACCACTGCATTCTGAACAACATTCGTGGGAAAGAAGAACGATTTTTTAAACATTTTAATTCATTTACTTTTACGCTATTCATTGTCCTTGCCAGCATTATAAAATCATTCGTACTCAACTGATAGAGTTCATTTATTTTAACCTTGGCGTTTATGTCACAATGGTATACAGTATTTGTAACTATTCTATGCGAAAAAAAATGAAATAGATATCACTTCAACTTGCATTGACCTATTGCAATTCCTGACGTAATAAAAACATCACGCACAATCAACTCGTAAGTCACTCGTGAAAAAGTTTTATTTCCCGTTTAATAAGATTATAATTCTCCCAAGCCGTTTGATTTCATACATTTGGTTCATTCACTGAATATTCATTCATGTCGCTCTAAGTTCGGATTAGTGGGTATAATGAGGTACTATGATGATTAAAGGTTAATTTGTGGGTCGAAATACATTTGTACACCGGTTGATGTGACAGGTCGGTTATATAAATATGTCATTGATTACAAGATATAACAATCAATGAAGTTGATGATTATTTGTTTTCTGATATATAATGTTAGTTCCTCGTATGTTTAAATCGAATAACAAAAAAAGCACTTCTTTTGGTTCTTAATTTCTGTAACTTCAAAGAAAATCAAAATTTTGGTGCGATCTGCGAGTTTTATGATGAGAAATTGCTTATATTTGTAAAATTAAAAGTTATAAAATAGTATAAAAATAATAAAATACAGTTGTAATATTTTTTGAACAACTTTTGTTCATGTTCTCTTTTTTGTGTAGACAATCTTAAACCCATTTCTCAGTCATTATTCGTGATAAGAAGATTTAGATCGCTGTATATTATAGAGAAAAACCTGTGTGTATGTCTGTGTGTGTGTGTGTGTGTGTGTGTGTGTGTGCGAGGGGCGGGGGTCGATAAATAACACCGTCACCTCAAAGGTCAGAACACGTACGGGAGTACTTATTTGATCATTAATCTCACTAAAGTCATTGGTTTATTTTGCGGTTACTATCAGTGTAAATATGAAGGAATTAACTCTTCGCGCCCACGAAGGTGTATGATCAATGTTTTTAGAATATATCATATAGCGGGCTCTCGCGTGGCAATCTTCAGCAGGCTAATGTTAGGCAGTAAATTCCTGGGAAAGAGAGGGGGTACTTGAACTCGGGTAGGGGCACCGTGTTCGTAGTACGATTTCCTATGGTAGGACTCGCGCCTATTAACTTAGCTAAGTCATCAATTCTTCCGCCTTATTTTACAAATTTCCTTGTTTGTTAGGATTAAAATCCCTTTGCTTGGAAATGGGTCGTACAATACAAGTTATAGTTTGCCGTTGTTCAGGGACACTGTCATTTATACACAATACAATACATATTTACACACATACAACAACAACAACAATAATAATAATAATAATAATATTAATAATAATAATATTAATAATAAAAGAAAATTCATCACATATTGTTAATCCCACTTATGTTATTCAATATTATATTTCCAATTTCATTATTATTGCTTTTTCAAATCCTTACCTACTCT